AGTCCTGGTTTAGACCTGGTTTAGACCTGGTTTTAGTTCTGGTTTAGTCCTGGTTTAGTCCTGGTTTAGACCTGGTTTAGTCTTGGTGTTAGTTCTGGTTTAGAGGCGCACAGGAGGAAGCGCGGTTTACGCCGCGTACGCGAGAAAACACGATCCACACGCGGCTCACGGGAGCAGGTCTGTGTCCGCGCAGTAACTACGGAAGGAAACGTGGTCCACGCGTTCTCAGGTTAATGACGATGATGAAGGTGTGTGTGTGTTTGTGTGTGTGTGTGTTTTGTTTGTGTTTGTGTGTTGTTTGTGTGTTTGTGTTTGTGTGTGTTTGTGTATAGGACAGTAGTGCAGACATCATGAGTCTATGCAGGTTGTTTTCACCAGTGACATTTAAGTTGTAGACGATTTTATATTTGTTATTTTCTTTTATATTTCACGTCGGGAGAATAATTTCCAAGACACGAATGTGTTTTTACCTGTGCGCTGCTGCCTCTGTTCTACTGGCTCTTCGACCTCGTCCATTGTGTGACTGACGCCGCCAACGTGAACATGACGTTTACTTCGCTCTTACCGCACGCGTTTTGTTTTGTGTGGGTTTCCGGCAATGAGTGGAATTACCGAAATAAAAAAAAATTATAAATGTGTTTTGTGTGTGTGTGTTGTTGTCCCAACACTAAAAAACAACTAAAAACAGGCTTTATAATAAAGCAACTCGCATACAGAAACAGTAAAGTTAGAGATTAAAAATGAGATTAACGCGATTAAAAAACATAACGCGCTAAATATGACTGTAATTAATTAATCACAATTAACGCGATAATTTGACACCCCTAATTATAATGTAACAAATTACTTAATAAATAACACATTACAGTTTTGAAGTGTTTAGAACTCAGCTCTACATCCTGTATTTTTTATATCTTTATATCTTTTTATATCTTTTATTCTACATTTTTTTCCACAAACTGCCACTTAAAGGTGCATTGTGCAAGTTTTCTGGTGGAGGGTTCATCAAATGCTTTTCTCAGGCTACGTTTATATGATGAACAGAAGACGCAAAAGTGGTGTTGTGTCTTCTCTTTTTATTCCGCGTTTAGACGAGCATTTTCGGGAGGAAATCTGTGTGCATACGGTGACGCAAAAGTGTGTGGAATTCGACTGTGTATGCATGCCAGGTTTCTGTGATACTGTATGTTTATGACGTAAATGCGTATGTGACATGAGCAGATCTGACCAGAGTTTTGCGTCTTGGGCAGTGTAGACGGAAACGCTACAGCAGAGCGTATTCAACTTTTCCACTCTGGAGGGTGGTTTCAGATTTTTGCGTTTTTAAGCCCCAAAAACGCCGTCACCGTCTAAACTACAGGCACTTCCGATAAAATATTTTGTCATTTTTACCCGCAAGCGTTCTCATGTAAACAGGCCCTCAATGAAGAACTTGTCTGAAACGTTCACAGTATGGCATTAAACCTTTCTATCTTCATGGAGACCAAACCAGACCAAGTTACGGGTTAAATCTGTGGAGAGACAACCCCGCTCACAGTCAGAATGCATGTTTTTCTAGGCATTTTTTAGCTATAAATCACCTGTAATTGAATAAATGTAAAGTAAAGCTGTTTAATGTCATACTGTGGAACATTCCAGGCAGAGCGATGACATATCCATAGAAACAAGCAGCACACCTGATATAAAACCACAGGTATTATCCAACAAAGCCACGTCATAATTAGAAAAACATGAAAACCTGTCGTCCGTTTTCTTTTTTACTTCTTCGTCGCCAGCCAGTGTCAGCGTGGAAAAGCCGTGATCTCTGGGACTGGAAGCGTTACACCAATCAATACTCGCCGCTGGGTGGACGGAAAAGGGGAAAAAGGGGGATGGGGAGAGGAGAAGAAGAAAAAGAAGTGGTGGTCCAAAGCTCATCTCCGAGCCCCGGCGCACACAGCTCCTCTGGGACCCGTCCGTGATGCAGGATTCATGGACAGCGCGAGAGGCCCCCCCTGATCCAGTGCTGCATAATGCCCGCGTGATGGTTCTATATTACCTCTTTAAGGCCTTTACGGCGCCATCGGGGTTAAGCTGAGCAGATGAGAGGTGAGCTCGCTGGAAATCCCCCGTACACAGAGAGCAGCTACACCAGATGGTTAGTGGCGAATGGCAGTTTGATAATAATATAAGATCTGCAGGTATTTGAAGCTCCTATATTACGCAAAATGGACTCTTGTGAGCTTTGAATCACGTTATAATATTGTTTCCTCATCAAAAACCTACCTGTGTACATCTCTTGAGCCTAAATATGCAGGATTTGCGTGTTAATAATAATAAAAGAAAACATAATTACAAAAGAGAACAGAGAATCTAAATCTTTTAACAGATTTATTCATTTATTCATTATGGTTGATTGTATAATAGATGTAATTTCTGTATTATCTATATAATTGGGGTCAGTTGTTGCTAAAAAATGTAGTAAATGTAATTATTGTAAACTCCATAATACAACAGTAATGTGTTGTGTGGAATGAAATAAGTTATGACGGAAAAATTATGCACTGTTAAGATGTTTTCCACACTTGACCATATAGGCAAAATAACATTTACAACACCAATAATACTTAACACAGATGGAGAAAAGGCAAAATTAATATTGGAAAAATGCAAATTTTGATACAGAAATTTTGGGGGTGGTCACAAATAGAAATACAACACAATCAAAAGTTGAGCCTGATCATTTTTATTAGTGTCTAGGCTCAAAAAATGACTTTATTATCCAAAACAATCTGCATTTTAACAATATTTTTTTTAGCTGCCCTCCATCTGTACTAAATATTTTTGGCCTACAGCAGAGGGGGTTGCGCGGAGGTAATGCAGGAGGGTTGTGAAATCAAACTCCTCTCTCGTTTTTAATCATATCATTTTTAAAAAGTCACACTTTGAGCTCCTTTTCCGTGATGTCGTTGCTCCATTGATCTGGTCTTCCCAAAGTCACCGCGAGCCCACGAAGCGCAGTTTAAACTTCAGGACTGAACTGGTTAGACTCTTTAGACTCTAGGCTTATTTCTGTCATGGAACTGGAGATGGAAATAGTTTCAGCTCAGCCTGGACTTGTTAAGGGACTTTGATAGATGGACATAACGCGGGGGCAGTAGTCCAGGACTAAACCAGGACCGAACCTATGCCGTGTCATTAGTGGATTATAAATATATACATGCCGATCAGCAGGACTACACCAGGACTGAAACAGGACTGAACCAGGACTAAACCAGGTCTAAACCAGGACTTAACCGGGTCTAAACCAGGACTAAACCAGTGTCATTGACATAAATATATACATGCCGATCAGCAGGACTACACCAGGACTGAAACAGGACTGAACCAGGACTTAACCCAGTCTAAACCAGGACTAAACCAGGACCGAACCTATGCCGTGTCATTAGTGGATTATAAATATATACATGCCGATCAGCAGGTCTACACCAGGACTGAAACCGGACTGAACCAGGACTTAACCCAGTCTAAACCAGGACTAAACCAGGACCGAACCTATGCCGTGTCATTAGTGGATTATAAATATATACATGCCGATCAGCAGGTCTACACCAGGACTGAAACCGGACTGAACCAGGACTTAACCCGGTCTAAACCAGGACTAAACCAGAACTAAACCAAAACTAAACCAGAATCAAACTATATATACACGCTACAACCGCCGAGCCAATTGCCAGGACTACACCAGGACTGAACCAGGACTAAACTAGGACTTAAGCAGGTCTAAACCAGGAGCGCAGCCGCCGAGCCGATCACCCCCGCTGATGATTTCATGTAATAAACACACTAAAGTCTGTCTCTGTCTGGTCCATCGTTCCAGGAAAATATCTTGACATGCACTTGTTTCCGGGACAACGGATGTCCTGGTCAAGTATTTTTCTCCTGTTCGTCGTTCATTTGATTCACCTGACCCGCCTGTGTGTAATAATTACCCACCTGCATGCCCACCCGTAAAATTCCAAAATGTTAAAACCCAAAGCAACTATTTGCAAATAAATAGTGCAGGACTCTGGTTCCAGATATGTCAGTTCTTTATGGTCAGATTGTGTTAAAACAAAACTCAGATTAACGTCTAACTTGACTTCAGACTAGAGGTGAGATCAGGCCTAAAAAATCCAGCCCGACCCGACCCGGCCCGCGGGTATTAAAACCCGACCCGGCCCGAGCCCGACCAATTAACTTGATTTGCAGGCCCGAGCCCGAAGCAAACCCGAAATGTCATATTTTATTTGTGAGGACTCGGGAGGAGGAGCAGTGCTCAGCGTCGAGGTGCCAGTCTTTTTGCTCTCGTATGAAAGCAAAGCGCCACATTGACGACATTCAGCGAAGCCAACGCAAGTTTCTGTAGCATTTTCAACAATCAATTTGAAGCTTTTCCACACCTCACTCTTATCGGTGCGTGTTTGTCTTTTCAGTTCTCCTGCCTTTAGTTTAACTTCTTGCTCCTCCATATTGGGGATACCAGGTCAAAATAGATGCAGACTTGCGGAGGGGAAGATTATTAAATGAAGAGGGGGCGTTCACGTGCGCAGAGCTCTGGCTCTGCAGATCCTGTTTAGTAGTTAAATAGCAATTACATTACATTACTTCTCTGTTTTATCCATATTATTTATTTTATAACAAGTATTCCTTAGTTTAGTATCCACACATCGTTTTAGCATACATTTTATAAACATATATTTATTTGAAGCCCGAGCCCGACCCGACCCGAAGTAATGATTGACATTTTAGGCCCGACCCGACCCGAAATTCGGGCTCGGTCTTAAGATCTTACCTCTACTTCAGACAGAGCAGTGCCTTCAGTTAACATCACACCCCCAGGGAATGTCGAGAGCTGCTTGATATGTATTATGAAGTGTAACCACTATGTCAGAATACAACTATTTCTGAATACAAATGATTGAAAATAATTTTGGGAGCCCCTGTAAACCCGGTGTCAAAAACATGTGAAAAATACTCACAGTCTCTCCAGTGCCCCCAGACCCAGGAAGGAGCCATTTCTCAACAGCGTGATCTTGTTATTGCTCAAGTTCCTGTTTGGGGCAAAGACATGACAAAAAACATGATTAAAAACATAGAATCGAGAAGCAATTTTTACAAACATGACAAAAATAGCAGTGCTGGAAATGACTGGGATGCCTGATAAATTGTCGCTACTTTGACTGTCAACATGTGAGAGCGAGATAAGGATTAGGGCGTGATGAGATTGCAGCTGTAAATTTCTCATTCTCTCTGGCGTGTTCCGTGTTGTTTATGGCTGTTTGCCGTAATGATGCAGAATGAGTAATGAGCGGGAATTGAACCGGCAACCTTCGGAGTCGTAAATAAATGCTAAACTTGCTTCTCCACAATTGCCCTTACAACATTTAATTTCATTTGAATGCACGTCCATAATAAACTCTGCTGTTTCAGTAGTTTTTTTTGGCAGTTGCAGAGAGTGCGCTGCCTCCGGTGGACAATGTCATTTCAAGTACAATGTGACATCACACAGGACTTGTCTGATCACAGCAGGGAGTACAGACATTTAATGGTGCGTTCGTTTACTCCTCAGACTTGGTGTTTTGAGGGCTTTTTCTAGATATGTACCGTATTTTCCGGGCTATTAGACGCGCTCTTAAACCTCCAACACCATCAAAAAACGACTGCACACCCCACAATCCAGAGCGCCCCATACATGAATCCACTCGGGTGTCCCAGCACGAATTCAGTAAACTACAATGCCGCACCACCCGCAGCGCACGCAAACACTCACAGAGCAGACACACTCACTTCACGCCGACAAGGAACGGAGCGGAGGAACGAACCGAAAAAGCGAGTGCAATGTGCCGCTTCTAGACACGACTGAACAACTGAGTCACTGCGAACACGCCGACAATCCAGCGGTCCCAGACAGCACCCTCCCTACACGCCACAACTGAACAAAGCCCAGAGTCACTGTGAACGCCACAAACAAAGTCCCACTGACCCATCCAACTGTTGTGTTTCGTTTAAAGTCCGGTGCGGATTATTTGTGAAAAAAGTTCGAAAATAGACCATTTAATGACAGTGCGACTTATAATCCAGAGCGTCTAATAGCCCGGAAAATACGGTACTGACACGCTCCTTTTACTTGGACGGTGGAATTTCAGGGTATCCCCAGGCTTGACTTCCCAAATTTAAGACTTTTTAAAGACCTTTTTAAGACCACTAAAATGAAAATTAAGACCGACATTGCACCCATTATGCAGGCAAAAAACATCCAATTCTAATAATGACCAACCAACTACGGTACTTTATCCAGAATCTAAGAGGCGCTGTAGATTAAACCTACACTCCCCCATGGTCCATCCAACGTCTTCCTCCACTCTACTGATTGTTTACTCATGGCTGCCGGCTCCTGAAACCAAAGTATTTTCCTCCCCCCCATCTAACATTGCACGGCAGCCTGATTGAGTACACAAAAAAAATAGGCTAAAGAGATGTAAGACCTTTGTGAAAAAAATAAGACTTGGGCGACATAATTTAAGACTATTTAAGATCTTAATTTAGGAACATGAAATTTAAGACTTTTTAAAGACTTTTAAGACCCCGTGGCTACTCTGAACTTGGAAGAACTCGGAGAACTCAGAGAAGACCAAGCAAGGTATTCCGAGATAGAACCCAAGACACTTTTACATATGAACTGTTTTCATTGTGTTTGGACACTTTGGTGGTTTAAATGACAATTGCACTCACTCGTATTACTGTAGTACCTTACTGCGTCTGTACCACTGCCTGGTAGTTGGTGTCGCCCATGTTTTTAGCCCATTTCCTGTTAACTAACGAATTTAAATGATCGATTACCACACAACACCAATGCTTTGACTTCACTAATATACAAAATTATACTATTTATACTGAATTCTTCCTCAAGGCTGTGTAGCTGTGTCACGAAGAAACAAGAGAGGACCCTGCACGTCAGTTGTTTAATGTAACAAAACCAAAAACTAGAAGAAACCAAATCCAAAAGTCCAAAAAATAGAAACTACAACAGATATGATACTGACAAAGACAATGGACCAACAAAGGGCAGGGGAGAACACAGGGTATATATGGGTCTGGGTTGCATTTTTTAAAAACCTGACCTGTATCGTTCAGTCTGTCATTAAAAGATCAGATACAGGTCGCATAGGGGCGAAAAAAATCAGATTTGGGTCACTTCAGGCTGCAGTCTGCACGTAGCCTAACACACCAACTTGTTTACACTTTCTGTTTGTTAGCTATTTCTATTGAACTGCACTAAGTGGGAGCTGTGCCTGAGCAATATTAGCATTCCGGCCACTGTCGGGTGCTTTCACACTCTCAGCGTCCAGACTATCACCATTGTTTTCCTGAGAATGGAGTTATAAACGGGAGATAAATTACGTCTAAACCCCCCGTTCCTGTTCAAAGAAGGGTTGTCTTTCCTAACAAAAATTTCCTCCTTCACTCCCCTTCACGTCTTCACTCTAACAAACCTTTGTCCAGTTGACAGAATTGAATTTTTGTTTTCCTATGAATCATACCTGGACGACTGAGGGATTTCACAGGCACCGTTAGACCAAGTTACAGGTTAAAGTGGTTCAAAAACATGTTTTAGATTCTCTAGATCAGGGGTCATCTGTTTTTTTTGTCTGGGGGTCACATTATTGCTCCTGACTGTAAGACCGTAAAACAGAATTGTTTGACCCTGATGACGCAGATTATATTCTTTGAAAACCGCCACACTTTCTTTACATATCAGACAAACTGCACAGTCCTTCCACAGAACAGAAAAGTAATCGGTCGTCCACTGTTCTTTGAAAACTCTGCACTCTCTGTCAACTTTTCGTACTTTAACACAAGCCATTTTGCCATCCTTAACTGCACTACAGAACTCTGCGTGGCGTTGACTGTCACTGTTTGATCTCGAGTTTGTCAGGTGATGAAAATTCGGCAGCAAATGAAAATATGTCATATAATAATTTAAACGTAAATATAAATACTTCATATATATATTTTTAATTGAAAAAAATCTACAAAATACGAGATGCAGATGTGTTAGAAGAAAAGTAATTAAAAAAAAGGCCATGACAACTTTTGAGGATTGCCTCATAGGGCCAGTTCAAGTTGTCAGGGGCAGAGGGGCTGGGGGCCGGTCAATGAGATGTGGAGGGCTGGAGTTGGCCCGCGGGCCTTAGTTTGATGATCACTGCTCTCGATTAAAATATAGATTAGATTAGAAAATATAGATTAAAATAAATAAGACGTATTCAAATAGTTTGTCCTTTTAATTTGTAAACACAAACTCACAGTTATCATAAAAGTTGCTTAGAAAGTCCATAAAAAAAAACTTGAAAACACAAAATTGGTCAATTTCCAGAAAACTTCATGCAGCTTGAACAACCTCTAAAACATCTCCTTTTTCTCCCAAAGTCTTTCCTAAATGCTGGGTTCTAATCGAGGTTATCTGAAACTATTTTTACCATGTTTGGGGTTTTTTCAGGGTATTTTGAGCAACAAAATATATCTAATCGAACAAACGTAAAAATATGTCCAATGGCACTGTGTAACATTCCAGGCAATAACATTTCCATGGAGACACGCTCGGTTGTTTGTAGTAATGATCCGGGCCTGTCCCCCTCCTCCTGGTCTGTGTCAAAATATTGGCTTCATATTAGAAAAGCTGAATGGATTGTACGGTCAGCACTTTTCAAGCATGCATCGCTCACAGTAGCACTGCAAACAGATCAATAGAGGGCGCCACAGGGATAATGCACTGCTAGATTGATATTCACATGGCTTCTTTCTGCGTACAATTTATGCTGTTTGGGTTTTGGATGAAATATTGGCTGCGCAGAGCTAAATAAAGCCGTGTTCATACCTCCTGTCAGCTGGCATTTCTGTCGCTCAGTTACAATTTGCTAGTTCTGCCCATAAACTCTATAAAAAATTGGAATTAGAGAGTGTGAGTCCAGTCAAATAAAGCTCATTGACGCCTGAAGTTATAGGGGAACTGATTTACTGACAAAGTAGCAACATAAAAACAACAGAATCATATAAAGCGCGTTAATATGAAAATTGTAAGACCAAACAAAGGAGCCTGACAGCAGCAGTTTGTCATTTTTCAATACAAAGTGAATTGGAGGCGAAGTTGAGCTGGAAGCGTGCCCATGTTCACTTCCTATATGGAACGTGGCAGCTAGAAACTTAGTTATATCCATTTATATTTGCCCATTTATGGTTTTGCCTCCAAAGCAATAATTTCTCAAGTTACTTATATAAATGCACTCTCTCTCCTGTCGTAAAAGTAACAAACCTTCGAGACCCAAGTCAGTAGATTATTCATAAATGACAAAATAAAGGTGGATTTGACCGTTATTGAACATTAATGAGGATATTTTATTGTTGACTGAGTGATTGTGTCTCTCAGAACAATTAGTATTACTCAAGTTTTAAACAATGAAAAACAGTCATTGAAGCAGCAATAAAAGGATCCATAAGTCACTTATTTGGACATTAAATGTAGCCCATTTCTTTTTTCTTTTCAACATTCAATTGAACCAGCAACACTGGATCAAAATAATCAATAAAATATTTACAAAAATATTAGAAATGATACAAAACATGTCTTAACATTTCAGTATTTCTAATGAGATAGGTGTAGCATGTTCCAGTGTGGGCTGCAGGAGGAGAGCGCAGCAGCAGATCAGTGTCAGAACTGTATATTACAGACCTACATGCAGATTGTGACAAGGCGATCCAAAAAAAATATCTCTTGCGACCCACCTGAGGGTCACGACCCAGTCTTTAAGAAACAAAGGTATAAAGCGCAGAGTTATTTTGCCACATTTTAAGTTTTAAATGTTTTTTTTTTTTGTTTTTTTTTAACCTGATGTTAGTTACCAGACAAGCAGGTGGTGCACTCCCAACCAAAAAGTTACTTGCAACTTGATTTGTTACTTGATTTCAATTAAATTCAAGCAATTTATAAATTTGTTTTAATGGCTCTGTTAACTTCCTTATATAACTCATTCTACTGTTGTACTTGCATTCG